TGGGAGAATAGAGATAGAATGAAGCAGAATGATGAAAAAGGGGTCCCTATGTCCTCCAGCAGTCTAAGCCTATAGCAGCATTTTAAGGGTAAGAGGGTGAACTATATATATATATACGGTGTGTGATGAATATATAATTAGGAACAGACTTTCTGGAGGAATATTAAAGAGATAAAATTACTAAAGTGAGGGAAAATGATAAATTATGACTAAAACTTTATATAATGAGAATTAATGGGGAATATTTCCAGAATAGTCACAGTTTGCAGAACTATTTCAGTCCTGCAGTAATAGGGCCAGGTTACATTATTTTAATCATTTGTATTCTTGATGAGAATAAAGTCATGAGAATGAAGCCAAAGGGATAATAAAATAAACTGGGATTTTTCCAAAAATAAACATCTTATGCATATAAAGTATATTCTGAGAGGAGAGTTCCTCTGATGCTGTTTAATAGTGATGCTTGGGGCATGTGTCGAGCTCTAACAGCCAGATCTGTATCGATGCGTGTATCGGTTCAAGAAAGTCAGGTGACCGATACAGGAGCTGTTTCGGATCATTTATCACTATTTATTCACTGGATTGCTGATTGCCCAACAAAAGTGAAGCCACCGGCCGCCATCTTGGTACTCCCCTATCCCACAGAGACTCTCCATATAAACCCCTCCCTGTGCAGCATTTAGCTGCTAAAACCAGCAATTTTCTGGCTGCAGGAAGACGATCCACGGGCAACTTCCCACTCAGGGTCAGTGTGTGCAGACATGCTTATCTGTAGTTTTGAAATGATCAGATTCTTGTTGTAACTAAGAGCAAAAAGCAAAATATGAGCTTGGTGTTTCCTGTTATTTTAGAGTAGAAGCTAAAGCTCTGTGGAGTTATTAAATTAGTTCACTTTAAACAAAAATATGAAATAATACATTAAAGCAAACAGTGGTTTTAAATATGATTTAATTTTATAGGTCATCAAATCAGTTTATTCTGTCCAATCAGCTGCCTGCAGTGTCTTTAAATGTCCAGCAGGTGTCAGTATTCAGCCAGACAGAATCAACGCAGCATCGATACAGTTTGGCTTCATGATGCCTCCATAACCATCACTGATCATTAACCATCACTGATCATTAACCATGACTAGTCATTAACCATCACTAGTCATTAACCATCACCAGTCATTAACCATCACTAGCTGGTTAGTTAGTGTCTGAATCAATCAGCAGATGGCCCAGAGGTCCCTCTATCTCTGCCTTCATCCCAGCAGCATCTAGCCTACATTACCCATAATGCACCTCACTTAGCCCGGGCTAACATGGCGGTGGACGGTTGCATCCTGCATAGGACCCTGTCCCGGTCCATACCAGCTCCGAACCAGGTCAGAACCCCGGCTCTGTTCAGCCAGGCGGTCCAGACGAGCTGGACGGAACCAGAACCGGCTGTTAGCGGTCCCTATCTCTGCATTCTGAACCCGAACCAGACTCCCTTTAGAAACCAGCTGGTTTAAGCAGGCTCGGTTCGGTGACCATGGCAGATGTTCTGTTGAGTTCTGTTGGTTTCAGGTTCTTATAAAACAGATTGGAAGCAGCTGATCGGCTGTGATATAGCAGCTTATTCTGTTCTGGTTCTTTTTATCAGCTGAAGTACAGTCAGGTGATGGACTGCAGCAGTTTAATTATCAACCACAGAAAACATCAAAGCAGCCCGAATAGTTTCCTCACAGATGAATTTATTCATGCCGAATAAACTGTGTGATCCTAATAATAAAGTTAATTGATTAGCAGGTTTGCATCATTATTTACTGATGGATTCAGAGTCTGATTGTCTTAAATTCAAACATTTTCGAATGAGGTTTTGAATGGGGACCAGGAGGACTGTCCCTCCACAGAGCTGACAGCTCATTGGTTAATTCATCCTTTCATTTTCCATTTTTTCTTTCTGTTTATTGTTAGAATAATTTAGGGGGAAATCTGAGTCAGTTTGCACCTTAAAGTTTCTGATTTCATTTTATAACCAAGTTTTAACCTTATGCTTTATTTGATGTGACATTAGTCATCTCCCCCCTAATTAAATGTTCAAATATTTTTTTTTAATGTGTCCTGATTCCACCGCCTGTTCTGGTTGCTCCGGTTCTGACCTCTGTTCAGACCACCTGACCCGCAGACCGGGTTGGTACCAAACACCTGCTGGGAAGTTCAGTTTGGTTTCCAAAGCAACAGAACAGACTGAGAATAATAAAAGCTTGAAGATTGAACCCTAACCTGTCTCCATCCTGTCCTCAGGCGTCCTCGTCCTCCCCCGTGGTCTGCAGGGAGTCTCTGTACGTTGTGGACGTCCGGCGCTACAGCAGAGACCAGGCGTCCGCCGTCTACTTTCCGCAGGCCGTCCTGAGTGGTGAGACGCTGAGGTCCCAGTGAGGACAGCTTCTGTCCTCTGGGACCCTGACCTCCGTCTGTCCTTCGTCTCCAGGTGAGGACCTGTATGACGTCACGCTGACGGACGGGGACTGCCGCCTCCAGGTGACTCTGGACCCCGGGCTGAACCGGCTGGTGGAGAGGCGGGTTCTGAAGCCCGGGTCGGCGCTCTGTAACGCCACCTTCAGCGCCGCGCTGAGCGCCCAGCTCCCAGAATGCCCTGGGGCGTCAGAAGGCAGAGACAGGTGAGTGCCTCCAGGTGAGGAGCAGGGTGGTGATGTCACCAGAGGAACTGAATAAAGCTCCGCCCCCTGCAGCTACAGACTGGTGAGCCTGCAGGTCAGAGACCCCGATGAGGAGGAGGAGGGAGGAGTCAGGAGGTCCGGGGTGGACTGGGACTCTCTGCCCTGGTTCCGATCATCAGGACCAGCAGGTGAGACCAGAAGCAGCAGCAGAACCATCAGACCTGTCCTGTCAGCTGATTGGTTCCTGGATCCCTCAGGTGTCCTGGTTCCGCTCAGAGCCAACAGGAGCGTCTTCCTCCCTCTGTGGAACAGTGTGGACCCCAGCGGCGAGGCCTGGACGGAGGCTCCGCCCCCTGAGGACGGCCCGGAGGATGAGGAGGAGGAAGGTAGACGTGTCACACCACAGCTTCCTCAGCGAGCTGCTGATAAACAGTCACATGACCTCCCGTTGCCAGGGCGACAGCCGTCTGTGACCGTGTCGGAGCTGAGGGACGGCTTCCTGTCCGGTCGCCGTGGCGTCTCCAGAGGCGCCATGCAGCTTCAGCTGATTGTTCGCATCACGGCCAAGTCTCACCTGATGTACTACGGAAGGACGGACAGGAACTGTGAATGTCCATATAAGGTCAGTGATGCACGGAGGGGGAGGAGTCATGCTGATGTTTTACTCATCCCCATTAAATGATTAGAGGTAATCAGCCCAAACCATCAGCCCTCCACCGCCGTGCCTGGCTGTGGGGTAGGAACCATGAAGGTCTATGGAGGAGTTCTGGTTCTGGTGGACCAAGCCTTTAGTCCTCTGGTCTCCATTAGCCTGACGTATTTAGACCCTGTTCCCTCCTGTTTAGCAGCGTTCCATCAGAACCAGTTTGGTTCTTTAACGCTCCTGATGTTGGGTTCAGTTTGTCTGCATGATGAAAACACGCTACCAGAACCAAACTAAGGTCCGGTTTACCTCCCTCTGTCTTCCCAGGCTGTGCTGCAGGCGAGCGACTGGACAGGAAGTGTGTGTCTGGTTCTATGGAACAGCATGTGTGTCAGCTGGTACCGCCGTCTGAAGCCCGGTGACATCATCAGCCTGAGACGCTACCGGGTCAAACAGCACTACCAGGCGGAGGCCGATGACATCGGTAGAGGACTAGGATTAGTCTGGGTTTGGACTGGGATTCGTCTGGGATTGGACTGCGATTAGTGTGGGTTTGGACCGGAAATGATCTGGGATTAGAGCGGTTCTGGTCTAGGATTGGACTGGGTTTAGTGCGGGACTGGACCAGGTTTAGACTGGGTTTGAACAGGTCCTGGTCTAGGATTGAATCAGGTTTATTCTGTGTTTGGAGCCTATTTAGTCTGGGATTGGACTGGGTATATTCTGGGATTAGACAGGGTGTAATCTGGGATTGCACCGGGTTTAGTCTAGGATTGGACTGGGTTAAGTGGGGGTTTGGACCTGATTTAGTCTGGGATTGGACCAGATTCAGTCTGGGATTGGACCAGATTCAGTTTGGAATTAAACTGGGTTTAGATTGGAATTGACCCGCTTTTAATGTGGGATTGGACTGGGTTTATTATGGGTTTGGTCTTTGTTTAGTCTGGGATTGGATTTGGTTTATACCAATTTGGACTGAGTTTAGTGTGCGTTGGACTGAGTATAGTCTGGGATTGGACCGGGTTTAATCTGGGATTGCACCGGGTTTAGTCTAGGATTAGACTGGGTTTAGTGGAGGTTTGGTCCGGGTTAAGCCTGCGCTTGGATATGGGTTTGTCAGGGTTTGAACCGGATTTAGTCTGGGATTGGACCAGATTTAGTCTGGGATTGAATCTGATTTATTCTGGGTTTGGCACTGGTTTAGTCTGGGATTTGACCGGGCTTAGTCTGGGATTGGACCAGATTTAGTCTGGGATTTAATTCTGATTTATTCTGGGTTTGGCACTGGTTTAGTCTGGGATTTGACCGGGCTTAGTCTGGAATTGGACCAGTTTGTCTGGGTGTGGTCTAGGATTGGGCCAGGATTATTCTAGCATTTAAACAGGTTTAGTCTGGGATTGGACCAGGTTTAGTCTGGGATTGGATCGCATTTATTCTGGGTTTGGACTGGGTTTAGTCTAGGCTTGGACCAGGTTTAATCTGGAATTTGGACTGGGTTTAATCTGTTTTTGGACTAAGTTTAGTCTGGGATTGGACTGGCTTTAATCTGGGATTGGACTAAATTTAGTCTGGTTTTGGACTGGGTTTAGTCTGGGATTGGACTGGGTTAAATCTGGGATTGGACTAAATTTAGTCTGGTTTTGGACTGGGTTTAGTCTGGGATTGGACTGGGTTAAATC